AAGGCAGGAGAGCTAGAACAGCTAAATAATTGAGAATACTCTTTGACATTGCACCCAAACTCAGTAAATGACAGTTTCTTGAAGGTTGACTGAAATCTGCCTCAACAGAATATAAAACATAAAATCTAATCTACTGAAACCACAGCAATGAACTTTTCATACCCTGTTATGTTAAAACCCCTTGGTCTAACTCTGAGTGGATTTTTGTACCCGTGGATGGGTTTGTAATATCATGGACTGGTCACTTGCAAATGTGGGTTTGTGAATTATGCAGCTGTTCCAAATGTGGACACGTTTCATTCCACAAGAGCAGAAAACCCCATTCATCAATCTGGCCATGACCCGCCCATCCAAGAAGTCCTGATGTCCTGCGAAGCTGGGACACCCACAGGGGCAGACATGGGGCTCCCAAAATGCTTAACTTTCACTTGAAAGCCCACATTTTACCACTGGCAACAGATACACGCTCAGTCGATTTCCTGGAAGCGATGACTCACTTCGCTCATTTCAAGGAAACGTCTGCGAGCACCCCGCCCCGGGAAGCGGAGCTGGCCCGGTAGCCTCTTCCGGGCCAGGCGCAGCCCACCGCGCGTGGCGCCGGGTCATCAGGCAAAGCCGTGGCACACAGGACCAGCAAGGCAGGTACCCGAGAGCCAGCACTGAATGAAACTAGCGGTTTCTCCTGCTCCATCAGGGCATTCTCAAGCAAAGCCGAACGTATCCACTGCGAGTGACCTGAATCTGTCAGTCTAGACACGGTGGTCATTTTGTTTGTTCGTTTGCTTGTTTTTAACCTTGGCTTTGTTTCTCAAGTTCCACCTCCTCTCACTGCTGGCCACGTAACTTACGCTACCGTAGGCTCGCCACTTAGTGAAAGCCTCAGGTGCCTCATCAGGCACGTGGAGACGATGATCCCAAACTAACCTGAGGCGCATCGAGTTTAAGAGACTTCAGTGGAAGCCCTTTCCTTCACACACGACTCATTTCTTCGTCAGCACATTTTGATGGACTCCCCACGATGTACCAAGCACTGTCCTATGTATTGTACTAGGAAAGACAAGGTCCTTTATGATAAAAAGCTCAGTTCTGGGGATTGGAGCACAAAGGAAAACAGAGACACAGAGAGTGATCGTGGGTGACTGGGAGCGGCCTCCAACGGGGTGGCCTCTGAGGAAGAGACCCGGCAGCTGAGCGCAAAAGACGAGGAGGAGCCAAGTGCCCAGGGTCAGCGGGAAGGGCAGGCTAGGCCTTCCCAGCCAAGACACAGAAAGGCAGGTGGGGCCAGGCCACGGAGCTTCGAACCAGGGGGAGGAGTCTGGCTGCTACTCCAGACTTGGGAGTTGGGGGTGGGATGGGGCCGGGGTGGTGGCCAGCAAGGGAACCAGGGAATCCGATTCACACTTTTGCAAGAGCCCTCCGGCCACTAGTGCATCGCTATCCCCTCAGGTAGTGAAATGCGTCTGCCGGGGGCTTCCTTCCGGAGCCGCAGCTCCCAAGCTTCCGCATTCCAGCCCGCAGACGCGAGGCAAAAGATCCACCTGAGACCGGCTGTCCCCGCGTGCCCCCTTTCTGGTGGGAAAACGAACGCTGTGGTAGCAATAAAGGAGCACAGTGAACCACAAATGGGGGACATTCATAAACGTCTGTTTTAGCCATAGGCCTATGAATGGCTCATTTTGAACTGTAATTCATATAAGTCTAGTTATTTGAAAATTACACGGTACACAGGCTATTGATGCATATACACATCCTCACCACACTTAGTAGAATTAACCAAACAAAGCTGATAATAACAGTATGAAACTAACAGTGACTTAGTAATTAGGACACAGTAATAGTGACATTTGAAGACCAGGACTGACTGGAAACAAAGGCTGTGGAGATGCCAACGGAGAGTGGACATGTTTACAGCCCTATAAGAATGCTGAACGCCCAGTGGCAGTAAACTTTTTCGAGTGGTCAGTCCACTTTAGTGAAGATGTCAATTTTAGGAATCCTCAGCAAGGCCACTAAACAGGACTCCAGTAAGTGATGGGGGATTCAATGTTTACATGCATTGATTACTAATAAGCTCAGTAATCAATGCACGTAAAAAGCTACTCTTTCGGGAACTGAAGTTCTGAGCCACCCTGACTCCTGGAGACCACAAGCAGTCCCACCTCTGTGCCTCAGGAGGACGCGGGCCATCAAGATGGCACCTGAGACATCGTACTCCAGAGTGAGACGCGCAGAGAGGACGCAGATAAAGACCACCGCCCAGGGCACAGTGGAAGGAAACGCTTCAGCTGCCATCCGATCAGCTTTCCCCCGCCCCGAACTCCAAGCCCCTGACCCACACGTTTCTTCTCCTTATAAAAAGGGTCGGTTAACAATGTAATTCAAGGTGGTCTGTTGGGGTACAAACCTGTCATCTGAATAAAGCGCCCGTGAGGATTCAGTCCCCATCTCTGCTGACGGGGCCCGGTAGGTGACAGGCAGCACGATCGCCGGGTTTCCTGATCTCATCAGTAGCCGCTGACACGCACACAAGATGACGTGCACGCAGGTGCCCGCTGACCGCAGGGGGATGCAAAGACCAGCCCTGCCTTTAGGGCGGCCAGTGGCATGCCGGGGACAGGTCAGTGGCTTTCACCCGTTCTCACCTCAGGACACAACACCAGTGGCTAAAACTCCATGGCACACCAATAAATATATTTTTTGCTAGTCTGACAAAAAAAATAGGTATAATTTTGACTCATTCACACGAGGTGGCTATTGTTGAGTTGGCTGTTGTCATTTTTTAATTTGACGATCCAAGGGAAAAGAGGTCAGCGCCCCTGACTAAACAGTCAGGTATTTACCGCATGTTTTAAGAATTCTTGCAGCACACCAGCTGACAATCGCTGCCGCAGGTCCCAGCACGGGACGGAAGGCCCACGCCTGCTGCCTTGCAACAAAACTGCTCCATGTAGCCGCTGGCAGCCCCGCGAGCCCCGGCCGGCGGCCTGCAGGCCCCTGTGCCCAGGGCCGCCAGCAGCCGGGCAGCCGCAGGCGCCAGAGCAGAGCAGAGGCTGCCCACTGGCCAGAACCAGCTCTGTGTTTTGTAATATCTGAACTAGTGCCAATATTTTTAAGCTGGAAGGCTTCACATTAAAAAAAATTTTTTTAAAGAAAGGTTTTCTGGCTTCTCAAAGAAAAAGAAAAGAGAGAAAGGAAAGGAGATCCAGCCGGGGCCTGAACGCCCTCTTCCCTGCTGCTGCGCGGCTCCTCGGAGCCCAGAGCTCCCACCCCGCAGAGACTCGGGCACGGGGCAGAGGTCAGCTGCCACCTCCCCCCAACCTCTATCATTATTCTCTGTTGCTATTGTCTACATCTTACCAGCATTTGCATTTGCAACCTTTGGCCCACTGGGTGTGCTGAAAATAGCCCCTCAGGATCTAATCAGGGGAACGATACCACAAGGACTGTTGAGGTGCCAAGTTTTCCCACACCGTTAGCTGCTGGTTTTCTCTTTCACCAACAATTTGCAAATGTCAGATACAGCTAAGTTCTCCCCTGGCTCTTTTCTAAGTAGCAATCTCAGTAATTACTCAGGCTCACAGAGCTTCTCTTTCTCCTAATAACCTGTGAAGAGCTAGTCTGAGGTTATGTTGATCATTCACAGATTAATGTTTTAATGAAAAGGTAAAAAATATACGTATCCATTAATCACTTGTGAACGGTTTGAGCATGTGTTTAGAGTAGCAGAGGAAACCACACATCAAAAGAGAAAAAAAATGCCCTCCAAATAAAATGAAAAAAAAAATTGGACAATAACTTTTAAAGTAAACATCTTTCCATATGCGCAGAGCAATCACAAAAGCTTTGGCCTGCGTGATCAGCACCAAAGAAGCCTGTAAGACACGCTTACACAGCCTCTCCCAAACAGGGTCCTCTTTACTCTTTTAACTACTTTTGGAGGAAACAGATGTTCCTAACCTTTTAAAAGTAAGCCAAATCAATAATAACTGCAGCGCTGGTTACTAGTGATTAACTGACTAGAATTACCATAAGGGTAACCTTACGTATACTTAACACTGTATACCAAACACAATAATCTTATATAAACATACATATTCATAAGCCGAGCACAATCACTGAATTGTAACACCAACTACCCCTTTTATACCACCAAAATGTTCGCATAAATACAGTCTTGAAGGAGGAAATAAATCACAGGAAGACAAATGATAAGTGTGCATAATGAGACAGTCCCACCCATTTGCTGTGGAGACCAGAAAACAGGCGGTGGCTGATTAAGGACACAGTGAAAAACTTGGCTGTTTCCTTTCCTAGGACCTGCTGGCAAGCCGCTGCCCACACTCCAGCACGAGGGGCCTCCTGAAGCCTGGGCCCAGGCCGCAGCCAGCGGTCAGACTTCTCTAACTGCTGTTGGAGATACTCTGTCTCCAAGTCACAGCAACATGACACCACATAAAAGAAGGAAAACCTGGTTTCAAGACAAATTGTTTAGAAGGCTGTGAAGTTCATTGTAACTTTAAAATAACTTTGTGTTAACTTGTTACTTGCTGAACGTTTGCCAGTAACCTTGTTTCCGAGCATATCATACTGCGCCTCTGGGCTTCACCCAGCTCGGACAGGAGTGAACTAACCGCCATAAGCTGACCACGTGGGGACAAATATTACATCACAAGTTGTTTTTCCACTAAGTGTTAACAGCACTAAGTAAACCGCAGTGTGTAAATACTTGCAATGCTGTAATTGCGAAATTGCTTAACTTTTATTGTCTAAATCAAACTTAGCTTGAATTAACACTACCCAGTGCATAACTACAAATCAAAACAGCCTTCACATTGTCAACCAAAACCTGGAGTCTGAAATGGTTTGTGCTTTTTAGTTAACTTGTAACGTGTGGCTGGGAAAAAGCAGCGCCACTTTCCCAAGGACAAGCTTTTGGCCGTGAACTTTTTCTTCGTTGAAACACTACCAAGGTCCAAGGGGCGCAGTCGGAATCCACTTACCCGATCCTTCATCCTCCAGCTCTGAGCTAAGGATTTGGAGCCTTCAATTTTCTCACAGTGCCTCTTTTTCATAAAAGCCAAAGGCAAGTTCCAGTCGGTAAGGTCGGCCTCATCTTCCTCCCCGAGCCCCAGAAGGGGCGACTGCAGCATCTCGGACTCCATCAGGGGGGGTGGGGGTGGGGGAGTCCTTGGCAGCAAGCGCTCGAGAACCTCCAGCCTTAAAGGCTAGCGTGTACCAGAAGTGGTGAAATAAAAGAAAAGGGGGGAGCAGAAAAAGAAATGGAAGGCGTACGCGGAGCCCCTCACTCATGCACAGAGTCCGCTGAGATCCTTCTAACTCCGAGCGGGACGTCAGAGTTGGGGGGAGCAGGTGGGAAACGGGGCAGCCCCGGGAGCGCCGCACGGACGCACACGCCCCCGGACCCCGGGCTGCTGGCTGCTCCAGAGGCCGTCCGCGCCCGGAGGGGCCGCAGGCCTAGCTGTCAAAGGCGTGCGACGCTTGAGGCCTCGCGATGACCCTGCTCTCGGCCTCCGAGCACAGGCAGGCAGGCCGCTCGCTCGAGCCGCCGGTTCACGTCTGAGCGGAGATCTCCGGCCGAAGGGAAGAGGTCCAGAGGGCCTCGGGCCTCCTCCGGCCACGCTCAGCCTTGCGGGTCCCGCACTCGCCGCAGCTGCTGCAACCAGAGCCAGGACCGGCCCATGGTGCCCGCCCGCACCGGCTGCTCAGCCCCGGGTCCGCGCGACCGGGCCGGTCCTGGCCCTCGGCCCCGTGGCCCTCTCCTGCCTGAGAACGAGTCCTGAGAAACGGGCGATACGGAGCCGCGCAGAAAGCGGGTAACGTGGGCTTATTGGGTTTGCGGAGTTTTGTCCTCTGGTTTGAAGCTACAGTGAAACTCCTCTCATCAGCACATCAAGGAGGACGCCATATTGCCGAGGCCCAGCATGCACCGCGCCCTACGGCGTGGGGAACAGGCCAAACCACGTCAGAGCGTGCGAGCAGCGCTTCCCGGGAGGCGCCGAGCGCGGTCCTGGCCCCGTCCCGTTACCGTGGTTACCACAGTTCTGCTTTCCAGTTTATCGTCGTTCCGTCACTGCACGATATCAAAATCAATATTACAAATGCAACTACGTAAATTAAGTTTGGAAAAAATCTTTTCATTATTTAACGTGGACGTATGTGCTTCTGAAATTAAAGAGATCGACCCCTTTGTTGCTTTCTCCCAAATGTTGAAAAGGCACCAAAAGCTTCAGAAGGAGCCACTGATGATGTTAAAAAAGAAGAGAGGGGTCTTTTTTGGTTTTTGCCAGTTTGCTTGTGGGTGTGCGTGTAGTGTCTTCCACAGTATCGATTAGATTTTTTTTTTTTTTTTTTTTTTTTAAATTTGGGGAAAAACCTGGCTGGTGTGGCTCCGTGGATGGAGCGCCAGGCTCCGAAGCAAGGGGTCGCCGGTTCGATTCCCAGGCGGCGCACAGGCCTGGGTTGCGGGCTGGTCCCCAGCAGGGGGCGCGCGAGAAGCAACCACACATGGATGTTTCTCTCCCCCCCCCCCCCCCCGCTTTCCCCTAATAATAAATAAAATCTTTTTATAAAGTCATTTAAAATGTGGGGAAAAACAAGTTCAACGACGACCGCTTTGTGTTCAACCACCTCCCTCCCGGCCGGTTGATGGTTGTCCCGACTTGGCTCCTGCGCCGAGTGCCTGGCGGCGCGTCCCAGCGCGCAGGCGCGCCCCTTGCGCCCTTCGCCCCGCTGCAGGTTCCGAGACCCCGCATCCCTTGGGCGCGTGCAGAGCCGTGGGCCCGGAGGGACAGCGAACCCTGGCCTGCAGGGCCTGCCCGAGGGCCTGGCTGGACTCCCGGGAGCCCGCCGACCAAGGGACGGCACAGGTGCGCGGGTCGCCCTGGCGCCAGGCCCACCCGGCGGAGGCTCGGCCGGGTCAGTTTGCAACTCCGGGCCGTGGCCTGCTCTTTAGCCAGCTGGATCTTAGTTTGCTCGACTACAAAGCTGGGGCGGTAACACTCGGCCTGAAGGACACACTGAACCCGTGAAGGTGCCCGTGCACAGCTGGCCGTGGTCGCTGCGCGTAGGGAGAGTAGAGTCTAGCACCCCTGGCTGTGTTACTGATCCAGGTCCAGGTGGGCTCTGGAGGATGCCCCATTTCTCGGTGTGGTTTCCGCATGCTCTGACAGGATGCGGTGGCCCCTATCACAATCCCCATGGCGTCTACACCCGAGGGAGTGGCCCGACCGACCCCAGATGGGCCTTGCCCAGCACGCGACAAGCGTCTGCCAGAAGTTCTGGGACTAAATCGTTACCATGCCAAACATGGGTTCTGCTATGACATCTCTGTGAGCCTAAGCCTTCCATTACAGCCCAGGACAAGGTCTCCAAAACACAGATGGAGGCTAAAACCTTCCTTTTTCCCTACTCTGCGTGTTGGCAAAGTAGACCAGGGTTGACAGCAGGGGCTTTGGGACTGGGGGTCCTGAGAAGACTCTCTTCTCACCTGACGGCAGGTCGCAGCGGCACCTGCAGCGCAGCGCGGCGAAGGCCCGGGCCCCCGGGCTGCGGGTCACTGCTCCGGGCACACTGGCCAGAGGCTGGAGCTGCCGAAAAGCAGCAGCGCTGGACCAGCTCACTCCCAACCCCCTCTGCAACCTCCGGGACCCACTGCCTCTGCGTGAGACCCAGCCTCCTCACCTGTGGAGCGCCTCGCCTGTCTGGCGACCTCCATGAAGCCAGGAAAGGAGCCCGTGGAGCCCCCACCTGGCAGGTTGTCAGAATCGCTGCGGAAGCTATTTTAAAATAAAGATGCCTGGATCCCACCTTGGCCGGACTGAGCCACGGGAGAGGGAAGGCAGGGACTCGGGATCCGTATTTCTAAGTCCGGAAACCCCGATGAGAGCATAGCACAGCCCGGTGTGGGGATACAGGACAATGTCCCCCTCCAGGGACTCTGTCCCAGCCACGTGCTGGGCCCTCCGTATATATTTGCACCCAATAAATGAACACTACGAGGCAAGTACGCCCCCTCTCATCCAAGAAACCAGAACAGGGCTCACACTCTCCCCGAACTGCAGAACAAGGCACAGCCCCCAATGTTTTACCGACGCGGCCCCAGAACCCAGAGGCCGTCTGGGGTCCATGTCCTGAACCACGGATCGGGGTGCACACAGCCTGGTCCCCGCCCCCCACCAGTCCCTGCAGACGGCAGTGGAGGCCCCACATCAGTGACATGAGGAAATGAAGGAGGTGAATCTCAGAGGACACATCACGGTCAAAAATCCGTGATTCATGTAAAAACCAGGAAGGGGCTTGTGACAGCCCAGCTCCCAGCCTGAAGTCTCCAGAATGAGCTTGAGTCATTCCACAGCATCATGACATGAAGAAGAAACCTTGTTCCGGTGTGTCATGGATGACTGTTCGAGTCCCAGATCAGCACGTGGAAGTGCGGCCTCAGGTTTCTTGGGGCAGCGAGCCTCTGTGACTGACCGCAGGCTGGGATTCCCGGGCTCGTCCTTCTCACCTGGGCGTCTTGTCACCGCGGCCTGCGACCGGCCGGCCACTGGGGCCTGCGGTTCCCATTACCAATGTCGCCACATCTTCGCAAGCAAGGTCACTGCCTTTCCACAAAGCCTCTCAATAAGATGCTTGAAAAACAAGTTTGTGAATCTCAGAAAGAAGCACGAAGCCTGGTCTGATTCAAGCTCTGGAAGTGGGCGTTGATGAAATCCTGCCGGCGGGGAACCTCAGGCTGCGGTGTGCAGCCGGGCGGGGGAGGGGCGCCCTGGCCCAGCTCTCCGCAGAAAGCGCAGAACAGCCTTCGACCTGCCTGGAGGAGGCGGGGGAACGGGTGCCAGCACGTGAGGGTGGCCGGATGACCCTTTCTGGCCTAATTCCGGCTGCTTGGTGGGCAAAGTAGGTTTAGAGTTGTATTATAATTTATTAACTATTGTAGTATCTTCTATATGAACAGCTGCGAACCTGCTTTTGCCCACTCTATAGAGCTGAGTGGGCAGAAAACACACACACAGACCTGAGTGTGCTGGTCAAATACAACAGAAGTGAGAAGTCAGGGGCCCACGCAGGGCAGCACGGGGCGGGGAGAGGGTCTGGGTGAGCGCCTCCCAGGTAGCCCGCTGCCGGCAAGAGCCCCGGAGGCTGCGTTCTCACAGCTTCCCAGCTCAGCCGTTGGCCCACGGCAAGGGACCTAACCTTCTCTCAAACCCAGGCCACTGCGGCCCGGCCGGGCTCTCCATTTGCTGAAAGGACAGGCTCCTCCCACCCTCCACGCAGCCTCCCCACTGGATCAATCAAGGCCCCAAATGCGTTTTGTCATCAAGAATCCGGAGCAAGGCTGGAGGTCAAGAGGACTCGAGAAAAGCCAGTGCTTTGCTGAGCTGTTTTCCACTTGGGGAGGCTGGCCAGCTTCTGTCCTTTCCAGAGAAATCTCTGCTTAGCGTAAGAGAAACCAAAATAGATATAAAGTGCTTTGCTTTTGCCTGCACATCATTACTGTTTTTAGCAAGCCCAAGCCGCCCCCTCTGCAGGTCAGAGGTTTTGTTGACAGGGCGCAGAGAGGCAGGGAGAAGGGATGTCCCCGGCCAGCCGCCCGTACCGCCCTCCGCCCACCCAGACACGCTGGGCTGCAGGAGCCTGGGCTCTGCTGACTCTCCGCCTGCTTCTCCCGTCCCAAGACCTGGGATGCGTCCGCGTGCGGTTTCAACCCGACAGCACACCTTCCCACTTATTCATTACTTTTCCACATGAGCGGAAGCTGTCCTTCTGTTCCAAAGAGGGGGTGAGGCCTGAGCGGCAGGGGGACCGTGGTAGAAAGCGTCTTCGTGAACAAACCTCACCCAATGCCCACAGCACGTCTCACCGAACCAAGACTTCTTGCTTGGCCTCAGCCTGGAAGAGCCAGCCACAGACGGAGCCAGGAGGCCTGCGCCAAGGGTGGGGGGGGGCGGGTCCTCAACAGAACAGTGACCGCGGCCCCCGGCCCTTCCTCCCCACTCCAGGGGCGGTTTCTGGGAGACAGCGAAGAGCCTGCCTGGGAGCCCAGGCTTCAGAGCCACGAGAGGCCCCCGGGGCCAGACTTCCGCATGGCGCCCTGGCAGGTCAGCCAGCAGGGCCTGGTGTGCCCGGCTCAGACCCGGTGTCCGGCTGCTGGGGATCCCCTGTGCGGAAGGCCAGGGCCCGCTTCATGAGCACCGATGACGTGAGCCCCCTTCCTCCCCAGGACCCTGGAGGTAGAGTCACGGAGACTGTTCTATGCCCAGAGCAGACAGAGCACTTCCAATGGTGGGGGGTGAGGGGAGCCTTTTATGGTAGAGACTACATTGAGAAAATGTGTTACCCAATAAAAAATTTGCAAACTGAAGTTTATAACCTTTTATTTTAATAATATTGCCTACAATGAGATTCTACCTTTATGAAAACACAAACAATATAACTACTTTTTTCTAAAGTCCTTCTAAGCTCCCCGTTCATTATTTTGTGAAACGTTCCCATCTATCAAGGGCGCTCAGGCTCTCAGCGAACGCCCGGTCCTGGGGGAGCCTTGGCTAACCCAGCCCTTGCCTCTGCCTTTAATGCGGGATCAGAGAACAGGCCTGCGACTAAAATATTATAATCCTGATCGTGTTTGTGAGGAGCCAAGCTGTTTTCCTGAGAATTAACTCATTTGATCCTTCTAATAACCTCATTGAAGGCTGTTTTACATCCATTTGCTAGTAAAGAAATTGAGACAGATGATTAAATGGCTTTCTGGGGCTCTCCCTGCTGGCCGGAGCGGGTCCGGACTCCCTCCAGCGCAGTGGGAGGCTGGGCCCTGGGGCCCACAGGAGCCCAGAACCCTCCTCAGGCCTTGGCGGTCAACAGACCTGGGTCCAAATCCCCTGCTCCGACCCTTCCAAGGCTGGGAGCCTGGGAGAGGTGCTGA